ATGGCCCTGTCACTAATGGAAAAAAAATTATCGCTTTAGTGATAAGGCTATTTCTATAATAGCTGAGAAACTTGGAAGCAGATGTTCATCAGGGCTGCTATGCAACAGAGCATTCAAGTCACTGGAGAGTTTCCCTTGATAAATATTCTGTTGGTATATGGCTGGTGGGCCAGTGTATACTGTTCAAGGAGCTGACTCACCTCAGAGCACTGAAGCCTAGGCCCCTAAAGTAGAGGAGCCATAAAATTCTTTGCTTAGTGCATACTTAGTCTTCCTTTGTTCACCCTATCCTCTGCCTGCCCTAGCTTCTTTATCAGATATGAAGTGTCTTCAGAAAGTTTATAAAAATTATGTATTATAAAATTTTAGAAAAATGGGTCCATTGAGGAGTTGTGTGGTAGTGAAGGCAGCTGGATCCCACGTGGCTGACTGCAGTGTTTGAGTCTTAGACTTGGTGGTTTGAAAAACACACCAGCACATGTGTGTGCTCAAAATCCTGAAAGGAAGGAGAAGATAGAGGAGAAGGGAATGTGGCTTGACCATGTCCCATCTGGGGTTCTTTAGCTCTCTCTATCTCTGACAAGTACATGCAACCTCTGACAAGAAAAAAAAAAGGAGAAGAAAAACTACCTGGATTTCAGGTTTTTTTTGTATGTGTGTGTGTGTGTGTGTGTTTTGTTTTGTTTTTGTTTTCTTTTTTTTTGGAGGCTTTTGCTATAGGGCGCGTGCGCTCACCAGACAGACAGAGAGAGGCAGAGAGACAGAAAGCGAGAAATCACCCCCCAGGGGGGATGGTCACGCCACAATCCCTTCTCCTCCATTCTCCTCTCAGGATCTTGGGCACGCACGCACATGCGCATGGCGTGAGCTTTGTTTTTTTCTTTTCTTGGAGAGGTTTTTGCTATAGGGCGTGTGTGCTTGCCAGACAGACAGAGAGATACAGAGACAGAAAGCGAGAAATCACCCCCCAGGGGGGATGGTCATGCCGCAATCCCTTTTCCTCCATTCTCCTCTCGCGATCTTGGGCACGCACGCACACATGCCCGGCGTGGGTTTTAAGCCACCGAGTCTGGGATGCGAACCGTGGTTGACTACATGGGAGTCCAGCAATATAGCCATTATGCTAACTGCTGGTCCCCCGACGTGAGCTTTAAGCCACCCAGTCCGAGACATGAACCAAGGTCGACTACGTGGGAGTCCAGCGACGTAGTCATTATGCTAACTGCTGGTCCCTCTTTTCTTTTCTTTTCTTTTTTTTTTTACAACACAATAAAGTTGTAATTTAATTCCATTTTTCCACAAACTTTTTGAAGTCCTCTCATATGAACAAGGGCAGCCTACTCATAGGCAATTTTCCCTGGAGAGCTGTGTGTGGTTACAGTATGCTGGAATAATGAGAAAAGCACGATTCATCCCCCTGAATGGATTGGTTACTTCAATTTTGTGTTGTATCACATGAATTATCAGTAAGCCATTCTGAAATGTTTATTGAGGGTTTCCTATGTGCTATTGAGGTTCCAGTGGTAAAGACAATTGAGCAAGGGAAAAGAGGCATTAAACAAAAACAAACAGTGATAGATGTTAGAAAGGTGCCAAGAGAGCCAAGAATAGCTGGTTTTATCTCATTAAGAGGGTCAGGGCATGGTTCCAGGCCCAGGCCCAGGCCCAGTCGGCCTGAAAACATGATGGGTATGTGTGCATGTGCCTAGGATCCTGGTGGGCTGGAGATTGAGGGAAGGGGATCACAGCATGACTGAGGTGCTTTTCTTTCTCTCTCTTTCTCTCTCTCTTGTGCATGTGTATATGCTATCATAAATTTTAAAATGAGAGTCAGAGGAAGCTTCCTTGAGAAAGCAACACGAGTTGAACTCTCAAAGATGAGTGGGAATGAATCATGAGAAAGAGAAAGAAAATAATTTTTAAAGAATTATTTTATCTATTTAATTTTATTTGTTATTATTATTAATTAATTTGACCAGTGTGAGAGAGAGAGAGAGAGAGAAAATGACAAAACAAACCACCAGGTCTGGGACTCAAACTATGGTGGCCCATGTGGGAGTCCAGCACCTTAACCACCATGCCACCTGCCAACTCCATAGAAAAGAATTTCTGAAGTGTAAGAAGATTATATGCAAAGAAACTGGGTGGAAGAAAGAGTGACAAGTTGCACAAACCAAAAGAATGGAAGAGAGTTGAGGCTGGAGAAGGTTGAGCCTCGTAGGCCAAGTTAAGAACACTAGGCTTGCCGGGCGCATGTGCATGTGTACCCAAGATCCCGAGAGGAGAATGGAGGAGAAGGGATTGCGGCATGGCCTTCCCACCCAGGGGGAGGGGGATGATTTCTTGCTTTCTGTCTCTCTGTCTCTGTCTTTCTGGTGAGCGCACACGCCCTATAGCAAAAAACTTCTCAAAAAAAAAAAAGAGAAAAGAAAAGAGAAAAAGAAAACGAACGCTAGGTTTTATTCTAAGAATAAAGTAAACCACTGATGAGTTTTTAGCTAGGGAGGGACATGATAAGTTCTGCATCTGAGAAAGACCACTCTGGCTGTGGTATGGGGAATACGTTGGAACAGCACAAAGGGAAAAGTATTAGATTGTCAGAAAAGCCATGATGCATTTTTTGCACAGGAAAGCATAGAGAAATATTTATGACTTTTCTGACAACCTAATAGTAAGAAAATTAAAAGATTGTTACAGAGGTTCAAGTGATGAGGGATGATGGTTTGAAGCGTGGTAATAATGAAGACCAAAAAATGGACAAATTTGAGAACTGTTCTGATGGTTGAACGAACAGGACTTGTTGATGAGTAGGACACGGTGTGTGAGGGAAATTTTTTTTTTAGCAGGGATAATTCATTCATTAGACAATTCGTTCATTGTTATGTGACAGGAAGCTTAGTGTTAGACAACGAACATTCACATAGACATATTTCCTGCTTTCAAGAAGTTTGAAATCTAAGAGGGAAGATAGACATGTACGTAACTGTTTACTAGGCAGCTCTGTCTTGCAGGTCATGTCACAGGGTGCAGTGCCATGGAGGCACATGAAAGGTGTATCTGGGCCAGCCCGTGGCATGGTTTTCAAGGCAGCTAGATCCCACATGGACAACCATGCAGTCTGGAGGGAGAAATGGAGAAGGGATTGCAGCATGACCATGTCTCATGGGGGGGGTGCTTTCTTGATTTTCTCCTCTCTTGATCTCTCTCTAAGGGTGCATGTGCCTTTTTTGGGGGAGGGAGGAGAGGTTTTTGCTATAGGGCACGTGCACTTGCCAGAAAGACAGAGACAGAGAGACAGAAACTGAGAAGTCACCCCCCAGTGGGGATGGCCACGCCACAATCCCTTCTCTTCCATTCTCCTCTCAGGATCTTAGGCATGCACACATGCTTGGCATGAGTTTTAAGCCACCAGGTCTGAGACTCGAACTGTGGATGACTACATGGGAGTCCAGTGACATACCCATTATGACAACTGCTGGTCCCTCTTTTTTTTTTTCTATAGGTATAGAGGAGATGTGCTCGCGAGAGAGAGAGAGAGAGAGAGAGAGAGAGAGAGAGAGAGAGAGAATGTGAGAAATTGCCCCCTCAGAGGGGATGGCCACACTGCAATCCCTTCCACTCCATTCTCCTTGGATTCTGGACATGTACTCACGTGCACCTGGAGTGATTTTCTAGCTGCTAGGTACAGGACTCAAATCACTGGCAGCCAGATGTAAATCCAGGGCTTTAGCCACCAAGCCAACCTGTTGGCCAGTTTGTGCGTTTTTAAATATGAGTAGGAATTCCTTGAATTCACAAGATTAGCATATTTCTATATGGCCAAATGAAGAATGTCTAGGGGGCCGTAGCTGGAAATGAGGCTGGACTGGGTAAGCAGTGGCCAGAGTATGGGAGGGGGGGGGTGTGTGCTAAGGGCCTTGAAGTCTATTTCCTCATCTCTAAAACGAATAGAAAAGAGATGAAAGAATGCATCTTATAAGAGCTGCAGTCTTTGAAAGCATGTAATTGGGGCCATTGAAATAGAACTAAATTGAATATTCATTGGAAAATAAAACCCATTTAACCCTGAAGCTCTAAATAATCCTCTTCTTTGGATACCTTTTAAATGTGTAAAGATCACAAAATGTCATTTTATTGCTTTTTAAATTTGAGTAGTGCTTTATAAAGTCAAAGAATGCATCTGTCAACCCTTTTTAAAATAATTTTTTCTCCCTCGTGATGGAGAGGTGATAGATAAATTCCTTAAAGCTAATATTTCAGAAATAGTTTACAAATTAATTTGAACATTAACTTCATATTCACAATGAATACAGAAATACTTTTTTTGATTTAACATTTTATTTCATATGCAGGTTCATGTGATTTAGAAATCATTCATTTAACTCAGAAATTCAGGGGTAGATTTTTTTTTTTGAAATTGTGCATAATAGAGGCACTTTAAAACCTCATCTCTTGCTTCAAATTTTTTTTTGTGGTTATTTTTATTGTTACCAGCATCAGGGTAAGTCCCAGTAAGGTTTTTGCCTCTGGTACAAATTTAAGGGCTGTCCTCAAACTCAGAACTCAAGATAAGTAATATTTTAATGTAATATTAAAGAAATAAGTGGATGCAAACATTTTTTTTCATAATATACAAAATGACAAACATTTTAAATAAAAGCAGGATATCACCCTGCACTTGCAGGATCCTGTCTCTCACACCCGAATCCTAGCTCTGCCACCATCTTTATCTTGTCCACTTAAGCACAGAGCGGCAGGGTCCAAGGATTCACTCAGCTGGGTGCTTCTAAAAGAGGCTGTGTCCCCCAACCCCCTAGAAGTCTCACTGGGCCATCCGGCCCAGAGACCTACCATCCCACCTCCCACCACGCCATTAGGATGTTTCTCAGTGGAAGAATGCCCGCTCCTGGTTTCTGGTTCCTTACTCCTTGGCTTTCCAGGGTTGAACACTTGCCACTTTCCTGATTTCCCCTATTATATCTTGATTGTCTTGCTTCCAGTATCTGGCCAGCACGATTCTCATCAGCGAGTTTGAACCCTCCTCCTCTTCCAGGTGAGAGAAAATAAGCATTCTTGGGTTATTTCCTCATGGCTCTCTACTGCCCTCCTCTGGGCCTTAAGTGACATTGCAATTCCACCTCGGGCCTTCGACGTTTTTTCCTATTAGATTTAAAAAAAAAAAAAAAACATGCATCTTTGGGCGGGCAGGGGGGGGG